GAGATAACTCTGAAAGAAGTGCACAATCTCCATCAAAATGCACAAGTCATAGCATTGATTGTGTCAAGCCTAGGTCCGGATGAGTTTAGAAAGGTGAATGCAATGGAAAGTGCAAAGCAAATTTGAAATACTTTGAAAGTGTCATTTGAAGGAGATAAGAGTGTGAGAAAAAGAAACATTGAGCTACTTCATGGTGAATTGAAAAGATTTATGTTCTTGCAAAATAAAACAACACAATCCATGTTTGATAGGCTTATGGCATTGATCAACCGCATAAGAGCTCTTGGAAGCACCGAATGGGATGACAACAAGGTTGCTAGAAAGATGTTGACCACCTATAGAGCCAAGAACAACATGCTAGCGTCCGTGATCATGGAAAGGCTCGGTTATGATGAGATGACACCCCCAAGAAGTTCTTTCAATGCTCAAGCATCATGAGTGTCCAGATGAAGATGCAATCGATGCTCACAATCAAAATCCTAATGCAATGGTATACAACAAGAATGCAGCCCTAAAGGCAACTCAAGCTCATGAAGGCAAATCTTCTAGTCAAGAGAAAAAGAAGAAAATGAAGGATGATTCCTCAAGTAAAGAAGAAGAGTCCGGTGAAGAAGTTGCACTCATCATTAGAAACTTTAGAAAGTTCATAAAGAAGAAGAGCAAATGCAAGACTTATGGTGATGGGAAGAGAAGAAACAAGAAGAGGTTTTGCTATGGTTGTGGCCAAACCGATCACTTCATAGCCGATTGTCCTAATGAGAAGAAGAAGCACAAGCACGACAAGGATGAAGACAAGAAGAACAAAGGCAAGAAGAGAGGTAAAGCTCATCTTGGTGAAGAGTGAGAGTTAAATGATAGTGACTCAAGTGATGATGAGAAAAAAGAAGGAGACGCAAACATCGCCATCCACCACTCCTCGTCACCAACCATGATCTTTCTCGACTCGACTTCACCACCAAAACCCTTCCCTAACTTATCTTCATCACCGAGGCTCTTCTCCAACCTCATCGACAATGACTACTACACTCCAACTTGCCTCATGGCTAAGGGGGAGAAGGTACATGTCTCATTTAATCCCTCTAGTGATGAGTATGATAGTTGTAATGAGAACATAGAAGAACTTGAAGCAACCATGATAAAGAAATTTGGTAGAAAGGCCTACACTAAAATAAAAAAACACTAATGAAGAAATTAGAGAAGAGGGATAGATACTTGGAGATGTAAGGAGACATAATCACTCAAGAGAGAGACAAGAACCTTGCACTTGAAGCATCTATCGCCGAGAAAAAGATGAAGGTTGAAAAATTAGTCGTTGAATTGTCTTTATCCAATGACTCAATTTGGAAATTGACTAAAGAACATTCCTCGATTAATGATCTAGTAGCTAGCCTCGAGAATGAGAAGAGTATAGCTCAAGAAAGCCTCACAAGCTTGGAAGAAAAATACTGAAATCTTGAGCTAAACTATAGTACTATTTGGGCTAGCACTTCAACTTCTCCTAAGGCAACCGAAGACTCTAATGTCTCCACTAGTAATGGTTGTAAAAGATGGTATAAAATTGATGTAAATACATATGCAACTAACATTGTTGAGATAGAGAAGAAAGACAAGAAGATTCATAGGTTGAAGATAATCTTAAAGAATGGGTGCAAGTGTCAAGAGAAATCCAACAAGACTATATATAAGTCATCAAGGCACACATCAAACAAGGAAGGCATTGGCTACAATAGGTATGATGGAAGGGCCAATGGAAGGAACATGATCAATGGTGTGCCTTGTGTGAAGTTCAACAAGGGTGTTGCTCTTGATGAGCTTATGTGCAAGGCCAACAACAAGGTATACATTCCCAAGATTCAACCTACAAGTAACAAGACAATCAAGACAAAGCAATCCGAGTCCCCCAAGCCACAAGCACCACTTCCACGGTGCTATGCTAGTGATTACATGTGTTGTTGGGGCAAGGATGGCAAGATCATGGTGAAGTATGTTGGTGCCCAAAAGAGAAGGACATGTTCACATCATTTCAACCTAGTCATGACCAAAGTGGAAACATTGTGTTTGGTGACAATGGAAAAGGAGAAGTTCTTGGTTTGGGTAAAATTGCTATCTCAAATGATAATTCTATTTCCAATGTTTTACTAGTGAATTCATTGAGATACAATTTGTTGTCCGTTTCGTAACTTTGTGAGATGGGCTACAATTGTCTCTTTACGGATAAGGGTGTGGAAGTCTATAAGGGAGGATTCCTCTATTGCATTTATGGGTCATTTAAAAGAGAAACTCTATCTAATTGATTTCACATCAAATAGAGTAAATCCCGAGACTTGTTTAATGGTAAAATCTAGCATGGGTTGGTTATGGCATCACTGACTTGCCCATGTTGAGATGAGGAACTTGGCCAAACTTCAAAAAGGCGAACACATCCTTGGACTAACAAATGTTTCTTTTGAGAAAGATAGGATTTATAGCGCATGCCAAGCGAAAAAACAAGTTGGAGCTAAACATTCTATCAAGAATGTTGTAACTACCGAAAGGCCATTAGAGTTGCTTCACATGGATATATTTGGACCCGTCGCTTATATAAGCATTGGTGGAAACAAAGTTCATTTTAGCACTTGTAGTACATTTTCCGTAGGCGTCGGGACTTCTAACGGTTTGCGCCGAAACTTCTGACGACGTCAGGAGTTCTGACCCAAACTATCGGGACTTTCGACAGTTGCTAACAAGTGACCTTGAGTTTTGTGTAGAATTTTTTAGATACACCTATTCACCCCCTCTAGGCATTGTTTAGATCCTTTCACGAACCCGACGTCTGGTCACCACGACCACTCGTTTCTTTCACTTCGTGCGGTGCCTTCTTTCACTAGGTCAACAAAGCAAGCATGCAGCCACACACTTCCTCTCTTTGGCTTCGAGTGTATGCAATGCTCGTCTATTTTTACCCTTCTCAAAGTGCATGCAATGAAAGAGAAGCCGAGCACACACAAGGCTCCCTCTCTCTCTTTGCAACGCATGTGTGCTCTCCTCCAATCATTTTAGCACACTTTTCTTCTCTATTTTTATCTCATTTGTAAATGTGCCAACACCACCAAGTGTACACCATCATGTGCAGGCGTGTTAGCATTTTCACAACCATTTTCAAGGAGTTAATCACTCAATTCACCACGTCACTCGATCCTAGCAACGATGCAAAGTTAGATCACTCGAGTGGCACTAGATGACCGATATGCAAACAAGTTTGCCCCTCTTGATAGTACGGCCATCTATACTAAATCTAGTCATAAACTTCTCTACACATTTATGACTGGTGAAATGAAATACCCTATGTTATATCTTTGCCTTGCGCATTCCATTCCATCTCCTCCAATGTTGATGCAACACATGCACCAACCAATCACAAATGATATGATCCACTTCATATCATCACGTGACCGTATTGGTTCATCGATCTTGACTTCACTTTCTCTTCACCGTTGCTTCGGTCCATCGGCGTCAAGTCATCACTCAACTTGCCCTTCACACTTGCAACCAATCCGTCGAGCCAAGCCTTGTCTTGATCTTCTCCACCTTAGTCACATGACTCAATGTCATGTCTCATATGCAATGAGCTCCTTCATCATATATGTGAGCCTTGCAACAAATCCAAGACATCTTCACCGTCATGGCATGAGTTGCTCACACAAGTATACATGTGGACTAATTACATGTATATCTCACATTAAACACAATTAGTCCACCTAGGTTGTCACTTAATTACCAAAACCAAACAATGACCTTTTAGTGGGCCCGCGCCGTCCCTACACGTCATCAGCGCCGCCAGCCACTTTCCACGCGCATCTCATGTCCAACACTTAATCTACTTTTGAAACATCTAGATGCAAAAGTTGCAACATATAAAAGAAGACAGATGAAACACTTGAAACAAGCATCTAAAACACTTGCGAAAACGCCTGAAAACCACTTGAAAACAATTACAAACATATGCAACATCCAGATAAAACACTTGCAAATATACGTATGAAACACCTAAAAACACTTGAAACATATGCTTGCAACATGTATCTATATATGCAATATCTAAATAAAAACTTGCAACATTCGTCTGGAACAGATGAAATATTCGGAACATATACTTGAAACATACGAGTATAGCTATTACAACATGTGCAACATCCCAATCTACTTTTACAACATCTGTATGAAACACTATCTAAAACAACTGAAACACTTGAAACATAGGTTTGCAATATATCTGAAAACGCTATAAAACACTTGGAAAACACAGTGTTGTCGACGGCCACGACCTACCTGGTGGGGGAACTGCAGTGGCGCAAGCCTCCCCTTCCTGCCGACGACGCGAGGTGTATGGGGGCACAGGCGCAGGCCTCCGCCTCCTCAGGCGCAGCAAGCCTCCCCAAGCGCAGGCCTCTACTTCTGCGACGGGCGAGGTGAGTGGGGACGCGGCGCTGAATGGTGGTGCGTTGTTGACGTGCAGAGCAGCGAGGGAAGGGGTCGGATGCCTCGCAGGAAGGAACACCACGGGAAGGGCCAATTACTTCGGAGAGATGCCAGAGCAAGTGCTTCATGTTGGAGAGGTAGTGGGGAAGAGAGAGCGACCTGCTGCAGGACCTTGCGGCAGCAAGGTCGGCCGGAGGTGCAGTGCTGTAAGAAGCTTGGAACAGTTGAAGAGGACACCACAGCCCGTGGGAAATTTTTCTTTTTTTTAAGGCTGATCCGCTAAGCAGGAGGAAGGCAGGACAGGGAGCCACGTCCTACAAGACGGACGCCCGTAGTATTACATGAGGTGCATTCTCGGATTGCCTGCAAAGCGCAGGCAGTCCACAGGGAGCAACACTTCGAAATAGTATTACATGAGGTGCATTCTCGGATTGCCTGCAAAGCGCAGGCAGTCCACAGGGAGCAACACTTCGAAATATTACATGAGGTGCATTCTCGGATTGCTTCATGGTACGTACATCTCATGAGATTGTTGGCTGAAGCTACACGACCCTGCCGATCCGGGTGTCAACAACGAGAGTCGGCTTTGAAGGTTCTGAAAACTCTAGAGCTTGTGCTAGTGTTAGCCTACGGTTCCTCCAAGCATCTTCTGCCCATTGCTTCATCCGTTCACCTTCCGCCTTCCTGTTAGACTGAATTAATAACAGCTCTGCGTACTCACCTGCAAGTTGAGGTCAGTTTGAGTATTGTCTCAAAATATTAAGAATGAGCCACAAGGTAACAATTCGCATAAGCAATATTGAATTATTGATATACACAAGAACTGGTAGCAAAGATAGCTTATATTTAAATTGATGCAGTAGTCAGATTTGTCAGGACCCGGCAAATGCAAGGCTTATTAAAGATCGATGGGAGACAAGAATGGGCATAGAATAATCCACGGATAGACATGGATCTGCTCTAGGTGCCTGTTTAGTTCCCAGAATTTTGCAAAAATTTTCAAGATTCCCCGTCACATCGAATCTTTGGACACATGCATGAAGCATTAAATATAAATAAAAAATAAAACAAATTACACAGTTTAGACGAAATTCAAGAGACGAATCTTTTAAGCCTAATTAGACTATGATTGGACACTAATTGCCAAATAACAACGAAAGTGCTACAGTGCCATTTCCCAAAAAAATCGCCAACTAAACAAGGCCTAGATCAATTAACTGAAAAATTAGTTAATTGCGGGCTAACACCTATAGCAAATAATGAAACTCAGTATTAAAATGATTAGAAATCATTATTTCCCACAGTAAGTTCGTATGAGGGTTACAATGCAAACCTGTTGGACTTGAATATAAAGGTACGGTGGAATAAGGTTCTTGAGACAGAATGTATGAAGATGCAGTTCTGTATTCAAATGCAACTGATTGTAGTGACACCAGATTATAAACAGTATGCCGGTAGTTTGCTTTGTAACAGCTTGATAGCAAACTCAAATACTGAACTAATCATCATTACAGATCACAAACAACATGGCATCATCATTACCGTGCTAACTACTAAGTAACCTGATGTTAAGAGTTTCATGGACTAATTCCTAATATAAGAGCATTAGTGTAGAAGATACTAAAAAAATTAGATAATAATAGTTCAAATTTAAAAATATAACCTCTAGCCAGGGAGATAATATCTCCCCATTCGACCTGCTTGCAGGTACCTGCAAAATAAAAATAATGTCAATATGTCAAAAGGAACCTTGTCATCGATAGAAGATCATTGTTTTTACCCTCAGAATTAATAGCAGGAGCTTTCAATACTTCTAGGGCCTTCCTGTACAATCCCTGCAACCAAACAGCTGATTAGATATATTGTGTTCATGTATAGGTCACATAGATAGAATAAAGTTCCTCACAAGTACGAGCAGGGAGAAGAGAGAATTAAGGATAAATGTTATTCATAATGATTTGGAGTGAACACAAACTGTTCAAAGAGTGAAGGATTTACAGACCTCCTGGACCATAATTGAAGTAGAACCTTCCGATTTTGCCTTCAGCTTGTACATTCTAGCTATACAGGTCAATATAATACCAACCTTTGGGTGGTTTGCACCTACATGGATTAAAGGTTATATGATTATTCAATTGTGGTCAAGTACTTGAATGCAACTATGTTCTTATATTCACTTTAACAAACTTATTGTGACAAACCAAATTGTTCTTCAGCCTTCTGTAGAGCTCTTGTGAGATAATCCTCTGCCTCATCAAACTTCCTGGATTAAAATGAAAAGGTGAGCCCCCATAAAAGGGACGATATTAATCCAAAAGGTGAATGATCTCTGTGGGTTCATAAATCAAATATTGGGATTAATCTAAAATATATAACAAAAGAATAATGGTCGAGATGATTCTGTTTCTCACCCAGAGTGAGATAAAAGCTGGCCATATGAGCAAGTGGCCCCAAGAGAAGCCTCCTCAGGAACCATGTTTCCAGCTGCTAAAAGGCTTCCAGACATATCATCCATGCAAAATGCCTCAAGAATTTTCTCATACACTTGTGCTGCCATTTGAAAATCCCCAACACAATGCAAATATTCACCATATGAAATGGCAGCATTTTCTGAGGAAAGGACATCAATGAGACTCAAGTATTCACTATGGAAAAGAAAAATGTGAATATTCTGTTTCAAAGATAGTTATACGTGTTTGGTTTTCGCCTCCAGAGAAGTCTCTGCACCAATCAACAAACAGCTGGGCAGCTGATAAAGAGCAAATGTAAGCCAAATTTTGTAGTCTGATCTAACGACAACATTCATGACATCAAAAAGAACCTGATTCAGTTTCTCCATTCAGGAGTGCAACAAGTCCTCTGATAGCATTAACCCGAAATTTAAGATGGTCCTGATCAGACCATTTGCTATCATCTTTGATTGACAGATCAACTGAATCATCTGGGGAAATCAAGTAGGACATCTCCTGTATTCAAAATACTTTAAAACCTCACATAAGGACACTGAAGACTAAATGAGCTTCTAGTACCAAACCAGCTCTGCCTCCATGTGTAATCCCATTAGTGCTTCCCACGCTGTAACTGCACAATCAATTAACAATCCCCATCAGAAATGTCATTCAAAGAGTTTTGACTATATTAATAACGCCAACTCTATCTCTTGAAGACCTAAAACTTGTTCACTTCTATTTCGGGCAACTTCCTCAGAGACATCTCTAGTGATGTGTTTCTTTTTTTGGCACATGAAAGCCAAAGGATCATCATCCACTAAATAAGAATACTTGAGTATCTATAGCATTTGTTTCTTATTTATACCAATACCAAAAAAACATAAGATACTGTAGTACTTACAATCTATTTGTATTGAATGTTTAAACAATAAGCATCTACAGTCTGTACAACCCACCCAATATACAGAATTACCCTTATATAAACGTAGAATTGTGAAATCACCTCTGAAAGCTGCAGAAGGGGCAACTTGTTGGGTTGCTTTGAGCTTTTCCATTGCATCTTGGCGTCTTCCACTGCACAAAGAAAACATGAGTTTACTGAAATAACTCAACTCTGCTCAAGATGCATGATCTAACTGGAAAACAAATCAAGGATCCAGTTGGGGGTTTTATATATATTGCTAAAAGCTCAACCTAATTACACCACATGAAAGCAGTAACTATCCAAAACAGATTGATCATATTAGGTAGTTGTAATGTTAAAGCAAAACATCTATAAAAGGTATATCCTCCATTGATTTATCCTCCAGACTCAGATTACCTCATGAACCAATACATAAGCAATAGCCCAATTTGCACTCTGGTCTCTGGAAGACACATCCACTCATCCTCTGTTCTTTACATAATGTGTGCTATGCCTAAATCCTTCCTGAATGCCGCGGATATATAAATCTAACAACTTAAGGTCAGAGGCCAAATTGACCCAAAAATAAGAGCCCAAACCACCATATTACAGGGTTAGCGAAAGCTGTCAAAATTTTGATTGGATTTAAAGCCAAAGTGCAAAATAAGAGCCGTTGATGTATCATCTGGACTATCACCATGCACCAATACATTGCCAATATGCAAACCAGTAGACACACACTCTAGCAGGGGCGAAGCTACATATAACTGAGGGGGTTATGCAGTGGCGGAGCCACAAACTTTTAGCAGCCCGAAAAATGCAGCGTTCCTATTTAATAGGAATAAATTTTTCCTTCACATCGCCCAGAGGAGCCTGGCCAGCCGACCAGGGTGGCCAGGCAGTGGCTCCTCCCTTGGGGCTATGCACACCCTCCAATTTGCTCTAGCTTCGCCACCACACTCTAGTATCATACTATCATATATGCCCAAAATCATCCTAACTGCTGCACCTATACAAAGCTAAAACTCTAGAACTAGCCGCCCAGATCAAGATCAATTGGCCCAAGCCGGATCCACCAAGTTGCAGCCTTACAGAGTCCGCGAAATTTGTAAAAAAAAAATGTTCGCAAAAATGAGTGGTGCGGCGCACCGTACCTCCGGTAGAGCAGCGTGGACATAGCGAGCATGAGCAGGCCCACAGCCTCGGCGCTGCCCTCGCCTCCGCCCTGCAGGTTCGAGGCGCCTTGCTCCAGTATCCGCATCGCCTCCTCTGGCACACCAGCGACAGCAGTCCAGGGCACATGAGCGAGTTCCTCAAAACCCTAATGCAGACTAGCGCAAATCGAGGGGGGGCGAAGGGGGAACCTGGCGAGCTCCGGTGCACGGCGCCGCCGAGGGCGTAGCGGACCATCTCCGCCGCCACCCTCTCGGTCTGCGTCTCGCCGCCGCCGGCGGCGGCGGCGGCAGCAAACTGGCGGGAGCCCCGCGGCTTCGGAGCGATGAGGGCCCTCCTGAGAGCCGATCGGATCCAGCCCATCGCCATGGCTGCGCGCCGGCGCCGCGTACTGAAGCGCTAAAAGCGGCGGAGAGCCTGGAGGAGTACCAAAGGACCCTTGGCAAGGGTGACGTGTTCAGCTTGGACGATGCATAGACCCTGAAGAAGTAGCAAAGCGGTGAGCCTGTGACACGCGGCTCTTCGACGAGTTTCGAGAACAACGGATTTGGATTATGGAGGGCGTTTTAGCTCGTTTCTCCTGTATACAAATTAACAAGGTATATGCTGTTGTGCAGTGACATAGACGACTTTATATGAGTTGAAATGATTATGTTATAGCTTGTAATTTATTAGCATATTTCTCTGCAATTCGGTGAAGCCACGTCACCAAGGGGCCCACTTCTCGCACACACCGTCCACCCAGGAATGCACCTCCGCCTGTTGTCCTTCACGTGAACGCAAGCATCAATCCGCCTGTTCTGTTGCTGCGCAGATGACCCATGGTCTCCCGTGGACTCATGCGCTAGCCAATTCTCCTTCACGTCTTGCCGTTTCTCTATCCCTGCACGTCATGCTTGCCATTTCTCCTTCATAGCTGCATCCACATGCAAACCGCTGCACCCAATCCACTCGCAGCAATCAATGCACCGGGAACTGCAGGCAATTGAGCGGTCGACTCATAGTTGTATTTATATCCCTTCATGCATCTGTTGGTCACAATTTGCATGGCATGAACCATTCACCTCCCCTCTCCAAGCTCTCCTTTTCCACATCTCGATTGCTTTGCTTTTCTACGGATGAAGTAATTTTTGTTTGATCGGGAGGTATGCATGATCCAGATGCAGATGGAGCTGAACTTCAGTTCGATGATGGGGTTCAGCATGACGACCCGTACAAGGCGCCGGCGGCCTGGCGCAGAAGGCCGGCACTTCCGATGCCTCAAGGATGCCATCGCGTCACAGCTGCAGAATATGTCCGAGCTGCTGGGCTAGAAGGACACTGGCAGCATGGCACCATCTCGGGGCTCAAGGGCGCCCCCGTGTATGCGCGTCATCGAGCAAAGCCTCCGGCAGCAGCGCGCCTTCCACCACATGGACATGATGGAGCAGGAGGCCTGGCGCCCCAGCGCGGCCTCCTCGAGCACTACATCAACAGGCTCCTGGCTCCTTAGGCACTTCTTCCACGAGTACATGTTGGTCTCATTTCACATGGCGCGCGTACAGGGTGCGTATAGTATTGGCATCTATCATTATGACCTGTGCGCAAGTGAGCGTCCTCGACATGAAATCAGTGATTGTATCGACATGGTGGAGGTGTATGGTGGGCTGGAGGTGGTGCAGTGTGGCAGTGGCATGGCGACTGGGAAGCTATGCGTGCTTGGTGCTAGAGAAGTCGCTGCTGCCGAGATTTGGTGCTGAAGGATTATCCTTTGATGCAACTTACTACTAATTATTAGTTTTGAGGCATAAGTGTAGCCATGGTTTATGAGTTATGACATTTTTCTAATTTACTAATTAATTTCCGCCCTCAAATATTTTTTAACTAAATCATACTTTTTTTGTCCTGTCACTTTAGTAAGATTGCACTACCATATTTTAACATGATTTTTCAACACAAAAGTCTGTCTTTCTGATGCCATGAGTTTTTATCTAAAACAATCTATAAACTTCCCGCAGCAACGCGCGGGGTATCATCTAGTTTATCTTAAGAGTCGAACTTTATAGTTATAGCTTCTAACAAATATATTGCTATAACTCGTAGGAGCACGAGAGTCTGGGTCCGCTTCACTAAAAATTCTAATTTCTTGTCGTTATTATCTTAACATTGTCATTAGGGATTTCTACGAGATTTATCTACGTTGTTGTTGATATGGTTCAAATATGTACTATACTCAGAATATCATTTAAATTTAAAGATCCAACAATTACTACGCATAACCAATGTATCAGATTCTAGCATCCTTATAAACAACTTATTCACCTTGTAATAGTTTTAGACGACACCCCGCGCTTCTACCCACTCCTTCCACCTGTGCGGAGACAGGAGGGGGGGGGGGGCCTGGACCCCCCTAATGATGCACAATTTTCATTAGTACCTCTCATTAGTTCTTACTGATCACTAGAAATTAAATAAACAAGCCTTCTTAGTCAATTCTAAAATGTTTTTTTCAAATAAATCTCTTAATTGTCTAATGTTAAGTGTCTAAATATAGTAAATATGATGTGTATCGTTGACCTACGAACAACCTTTTCATTTTTAATTTAGTCATTTAGCATTTCTCTAAATAAAAAGATTAATAACATCTCTATGAATTTGGTATAGTTTACTTGCAAAACTAATAGATCTAGCAAGCTAAATCCTAGCGATTTATTATAATTTTTTAAGCCAACATCAAAATGATAATTTTTAAACTGACATCAAGATTTGATAGTGGTACAATATATTTTCTGTGGACCGTCGATGACTCAAATTTCTCCTGTATCTAAATCTCGGCTCCGCCTAGCCTTCCACTTTCTTATTCCGTTTCTTTCTAAATTTCAAGTTGCTCCATTTCTTATAAAAAATGTTCGATTTGTCATTTTGTCATAAAGATAATTGGCCTTGTTTGCTTGAATTTATCAGTCCGATTTATCAGCCATGGTACAGTGTTTTCTCTTACAACAAAACAACATCAGCCGGCTTATCGGCCGCAAAAACCATCAGCCGAGAACAGCTCGAAACAGATGGAAGGTAGTACTCAAAAACAACGATTATCAGTTTCATAATTTTACAACAGTGACTTATGTCTTGTCTCGATGTGTGACTTCTGCTTCCTTCTTTTTTACTAGTCCATGACGCGCGCCCTCGCGCGCGCCGGCAAATCACCTGATTAAGGCCACAACTTTATCTATGCATATACGATAAACAACAATAATAAGGTAAAGCAAACAGTGCAAAAAGCGAAAGAATGGCTGCACAAATTAGAGTGGAAATAGGCAGACTGTCAGAAAAAAAGCAGAGCAAGGCTGAACCAATAACTGCAACAGTGTGCATAACATTGACTGAACAACTTAATCCTACGTCACATATTGCACGTAGTAGAGCAATGGAGCAAGTTGGAAGATGGTTGTACCTAGGT